ATATATATATATATATATATATATATATATATATATATATATGCAACATATTTTCATCTCAGCAATTGAACATTGTTTGAATCATTACATCATGCTTTATTTCATGTCGCATTTTAGTTTCTCTCAAATGATTGTCTCCGACCGAGGATGAAACTATACAAGTCAAACATGATAAAGAAGATATGTTAGTTTACCGACATCAAACAGTCACACAGTCACACACGACCTATCATTCCCAGGAAAGTGGAATGTTTGAACTATTAAGCTACACCCTGATGAACATGCATGGAATATTTTCTGTACACCACTTTACGATTGATGTCCCCTGTCGGACACTCAAATGTGGCCATGGGGTGGGGTCTTTGTGTGACAGGGTGGCATGCCTTGAATAATAACTGGACTGGAGTGCAATTTAGAGGGAAATTAAAGAATGGGAATGATGCATGGTTACCTTACCCTAAGGAGATTTTAATTGTTTTAATTTCAATGAAATTGATTTTTTAATCACATTCAAGTGATGTTTATCAGTCAGCTGAGTATGGATTACATGCAATGTGTTAATTAGGGGATTTAATTTAACATTTCATTATATATGATAACCAAAGAACATTTCACTAAATTGGTGAATGTTATTAAAGACTAAGCCGCATATTACAAATTACGTTTGACAATATTCGACCGTGAAACAAAATCAAATCAAGAAAACAGACTGCAAAATATCAGACCTTGGAACTAAATTTCATTTTTTTTTTCAAAAAATAACTCTGGCAATTACCATATGCCATAGACATTCGAGAAGCCAAAATGTGTTAAGTTATTTCTATGACTGAGCTTAATTTGCATATAATACACTTATTATGATGATTGTACAAACCATAAGTTTTGTTACTATCACTAAATGATTGGAATCCAGTGGTTCTATATTTAATCAAAGAAAGTGAATGTGTCAGCATTTATATTCTTCATGGTCTAACTCATGCAGATTCTGACAATTAAAACTCCAAAAAAATGAAAAATATGAGATATGAATGTGACCCTATATGTTAAGTATGTTAAACATACATTAAACTAATCTAAAACATATATATGTTGGTTGGCGTATAGTTTTATAATTATATTTTTACAATATAAATAAGATTAAAATTAGGAGGCCTGACTGCTATCGTAGTTATAATTACTATTAAGGGGTTCCAATAAAATTGATCGATAAATCATCATTAAAGTGAGAAGTGAAAATAATAATAATTGATACCGTAATTAAAATAATTAAAAATACATCAAATTGTTTATTATACCGGAATATGACTATGATAGTTTAATATACCTCAATTAAATTTTGCATTTCATATGCTATTAATATGTCACCATAATCCCATTTTTCTTCATTATCGTCTCTGTATTGATACAATCAACAATGCAAACATTGTACCTGTCAACGTTGGTTTTGCTGGTGCTGATGCAACGTGTATCAGCTGGGAGTTTTCCCGGTAAGTGTGATTTATGTTCCTCGTGTTACGCCCTTTCATGTGCCACCAACATTATTTACGTCGCCGAGTTGTAAGTTTACGTACGCATTCGTCAAATTAACAGGAAGGGCAAGTCAATAGCCGTTTAGTAATTTATTGTTAAAACTATTTATAAGCTATTTGCCTTTTGATTTGAATGGTTGTATTTCGGCTCACCTCACGGCCATTTTACAACGCAAATCAGCTCACATTTTTTAATACAAGTTTTTCACAATGACCATGTTGTGAAGTAGACAGATGTACAAATAAACATAGGTTTTATTTAGGCAACAAATTCAAAAATAAACAAATAAAAAAACTAAAAAAAAATACCTTCGTGACTGAATAATGGAAGTTATATAAGTTTAAAAAAACAACAAACTATATTGTATTTGGCGCGAATGAATATTTCTGAAGGACAATGTGAATAATACTTACTGTAAGATCAAAATACAAAAGTAAGTACACATAAATTAATTAAAAAAATACGCCGTTGTTAAACACGTTTTTTAAATTTTATAACAATGACTGTAAATCAAAATGTCAACTTAATGATTTGTAACTATTATTAGTTATTATTATAGGCAAGCAAGTGTTACAGTAGTATCATCCTGAAACTCTAGCTCGAAATTAAATCATGAAAAAACATATATAGGAATATGAATTTGAATCAGTAGAAAGTTTACACCAAAAAGAAGCATATTCCAGCAGACAACCTCATATTTAGTTTTAACTTGAAATATTAATATATTCGTACAAAATTCCAGTAATGATTTGTATTTTGCACATATTGTTCTAGTATATGAATTGTTGGATTTGTACCTGTAGCTGAAAAGTTACAACATTATCTATTGCCAATTTCATTCATTGAACTAAGTTGAGCCCGAGCTTGTCACATTTCGGTGACTTCTTCAATTCTTATCTGTACTGCATTCAGTGGCGGATCCAGAGAGGGGAAAGGGGGCCATGCCCCCCCAAACGCATGACGATTCGTATCATCTGGATTACGCATAGCTTCTCTGCGATTTACGCTCCGTATATCTTAAGCGTAGCTTGGACCCCCCCAATACATTTTGCTGGATCCGCCACTGACTGCATTGTATAATCTACCACTCCCATAGTTCTTTGCGTGTCGCGTAATCGTTGACATTCTAAATTTCCATTCACATTCATCTTCTCCATAATCGATTGACAGATAATCTACTCGAGCTGAATTCGCATAAACAGAGATACTTTTGTTTAGGACATCTCAAAATATATATAAATAACCTGGCCACTCCTCTATGTATATCAGTTATACTATAATCATTCATACTACAGTGCAACATTTCAAATACTACCCAATATCCAGCGAGTGTGTCACTTTCTTTTTTATGCATTTATATGCATGATTGACTAACATGCATAGTTAATTAATACTTAAAATTAAAACTCCACAGTGCATTTATTTACTTCCAAAACATGTATGTGTAATCTACGCTCAAGATAATGGTCACATTTTGCCACCGGAGAGTACATTTGCATTGACAATGCCAGTGAATTTTCACACGTTAAAACTAAGATAATTTGGAAAAAAACGACCGAAAACATACTAAAACAGAATCGCGTCTACAATATATGGGCCTTGTAATCTGTATACTGTATTTAACGTCAACGCGTTCACGCAACGATTCCCATTCACACACACAAGCACAATACAGTGTGCAGCGGTCATTTCAACATAACACATATACAAAATAGACGAACTTGGAACTCCCTATCCTTAATTTTGCGATGTTCGGGAAGACCAGTGATGTGTAGATGGATTGAAGCTCGTAAAACCACTGGCAGACAGCGACGAGCAGCTGGGGAATCATATCCCTATGTTGCCGATCGCATCATTTATGTGACTGACTCTGAACGGCTCGAAATACAACAACAACATTAAAAACAAGACGTCCAAATGAAATTGTTAAGGCGAAATTGTAGATCGCGATTGTAGATCGCACCAAAGAGCTAAGGAACCGTAGCTAGCTTGCGAGCTGAAGCGTAAATTTCCCGCAGCAAGTCGGCTAGCTCAACGACAGGAAGGCCTTCAAAATTTGTGACGTAACACATACTTCCCATTCAGTCTGCTGTGAAGTATTTTTTTCATTTCTTGCATTTTCGAACACATTAACTGTAATTCGTCGACATCGATACAAAACTGTCGATAAAACGAGCCATCGTGTTTGCCTTTGGTGTGCTACGTTTAATTACGCGTTCGACGTCGGTACCGGGTGTTTCTCGCGAAGTTTGGGATTGGCCAGACGACGATTTGTGTTTGTCGTTATGGCGGTAATGACATTTTTCATGTAAACTAAGAACACATAATTAGCTCAGAGTTATTCATTTTCAGTTTTGTTTTTAATCGTTTTCACCCCATAATTTCCCTCATTATCAAATGCCCGTCTCTTTATTTTTTTGGGAACTCAACATTATATTCCTATGCATGGTACAGGGCCTTGATGCTCAATAATGCAATACATTATCGCGAATAATCTGTGGCAATGACGTCATAAAATTGCTGGTATTGACAATGCTATAATATAATATGGAATAATAGCAATGTGAATCAGTGGATGCTATTAAGAATAATTTGAAAAGTCGTCCTTTAAAAAAAAAACATTTACAGATTACTGGTTAGCTTTGAGTATGCTATTATAATTCTCAGCAATTGACTTTATTGTTATAGAACCCGTGCCAGTAATCGAGCCATCCGATGTCACTTGTAAGTGCCATCCTAAATGCGGGAACGAAGACACCTGTACCATTTTCGGCGCATGCGTCATGAGTGGCACAGGGGGATCCCCGCGTAACATGTACCTGGGATGTATGAATGAGCGTCAGGTCGAATACCTTTGCAACGAGCCTATGCTAGCGGTAGGTATTTCATTGTTATCATTTATTCGTATCACAACCTATACTCCATGGCGCCGTTAAGCTTCAGACAAGATTATTATTTCGTCATTAGTTTTTTTTTTCTCTGTGAGGTTATTTGTTATCCCAATATCTCATGTCCAGCTCAGTAACTGGTCATTTCTGTCCATTAAATATTTGTATTTCCCTCTGATTCCATGTTTCCTCATTCAAACAGTACTCGGCTCGATAGGTGTAGCATTATTGAGCACATTGTAGCAAAAGACTGTTATTTGCGAGTTTTAGTGTCACATAATATTTTGTCCGACTATTTCATCAAACCCACCATTTTGTCCAACTCATATCCTTTTTATAGATTTCAGTGTACTATTTTCGAGTGTATAACGCGCACCAAGAAACTATATATATTCAAATTCTCATGAAATATCATAGTGTGTAATTGATTTCTCTAGGATATCAGTTGTTGTTCTCATGACATGTGCAATGATGTATGGATTCCCGATGAGTGGCCTCTCAACTCCTAATTACAGTTGCTTGGAAAACGAGGTATGCGTGAAGAGATTGTTACATGAGTGACGTTTAGAAACCATACATTCATCAATTAACTTCACATGCGTAGTTCTATCGAGCGCAACAAAACATTATTGTCAAAGCATTAAAGCTAATTACATTTTGTTCTATATGAACAGAGGATTTATTTTCAAATAAATACCTCATACTGATTGATTTCAAGTTTACTGACACTGGAGAATGTATAATGTTGCGATCGTCCATATTTGGCGATCAACCGACTTTACCATCTCAGGGGCAGTACTTCTTGATATCGTTCTATGTTGTTTGGAAGTGGAACTCCGGCCGAAAGGCTACTAAAAAAACAGCTAAACTCGAGAACACATCACAAATTCAACTTGATGTGTATTTGTTATAACGCCACGTGCCAGATTCGGGGTTTAGAGTCGATTAAGAATGTATAGTTGCTGTTCATGTTTCATATCTCGAAGTGAAATGAGTCTTTAATTTAATCTTCGGAATAAAATATAGTAACGCATATAGGGGGCGAGTTGTTTTTGACATCATGACATCATACTATATGCTCAGTGATTGAACTTACTTGGCGCATGCATGTTTTAAATAAATCCATGTTTTCCGTGCATTACTCCATTGACAAATACACCTTGATACCAAGGAGACTATCATTAACTTGTCGCCAATTCATAAGTGCATAATTCGGCATGTGGTTTATATCCTCTTTACTCAATGGCGATCTAGTGAAAGCAGTTCAAAGACGTATGTTACGTAATCATTTGAATGTATTGTATTTTGCAGATTGCTGCCATTCTGACAACGCCGCCGACATTGATACAAATAATGTTATCGCACAACACGTGTTGCATGCCTTTTCGACTGAACATATCATTTGCATAACGGAACTGTAACGTAGTAGTAGTCTGAATAAATATTAGATTAACACGCACGTATACGTCTCCTATATCGTTGTAACGGCACACATTGGAATAACTTTTAATATAGTTGCGTTATGTTTGGATTAAAACGCGACCTATACAGGGTTGCGCTTTAATTGGAGTTTAATTAAACTCAATTACAGTGCAATTGAAAATAGAATTGCGTTTAAATTCAAGTTTTTTTTTAATTAATTAAAAGTTGAATATCCTGTGACTTAACATAGAAATGTTTGCAAAGCTTAGGGTTAGTGAAGGGGGAGGTATAAGAGTATAAATTTACCCTTCCTTCCCCATTTACTAACCCTAAGATACACAAACTTGCCTTAATTCCAGTTGCGGTGGCACCGGGGTCAGGAGGCCATCCCTCCGAAAAAAAAATGGGGGGAAGGGTGGTGGTCGCCCCAAGAAACAAGCTGGAACCCTTTGTGTATTTGTGTCGATGCGACACCATTGAAGCGGAATGCCTATCTTGCCCCTCAAAATGCAAGAAATAGCGGACCCCCTAGTAAGGTGATTTAACATGGTTAATAGATCCCCCAATGCTAAATTTCGTGCCGCAGTCTCTGTGATTCAATTAAATATAAATATAAATTATGAAAATATTGAAGTTTTCATTTGGTAGGTGTAAAGTTAAATGAAAGTCGTCACAACAAATGTGCATAAAATTAATGACACCACAAATGTGCATAAAATTAATACGTTAGTTGTATGTTGGGTTACTTTTGTAAGTGTACAAGATCGGTAGTGTTTCTAAACAAACACGATATAAATTCTGGAATGGCAAGGACACGATAGAGTAGCACGCAGCACACTGATAGGAGACATATGCCACGGAGGTTTGGGTATGATTGATATACATGCAATGCAAAAAGCCATTAATGTTGGGTGGGTAAAACGATACCTATCTCCCAAATTTCACCCTTAGAAATTATTTTTTACCAATTACCTGGAATATGTGGGAGGAGATTTCATTTTTAAATGTAATTTTTCTGTTGACTTACTCAATGTTAAACTCCCATTATTCTATTACACTTTACTAAAACAGTGGAGTGAAGTTGGGCCTAATAAAAACATCTCGCATG